TTAAACATTTAATTTTAAGCTCCCAGCTGTCCCAGCAGGTCCTGGAGGGCACTCACAGCCTTCTCCAGGGAACATTCCCATCCAGAGTTGGTGTGGGAATATTTTGGGTAGAAGTTGCTCACGGCCCCAAGGCTGCCAGAGCTCCAGGAGGGTTGGACAGGGGGGGATTGTTGGGGTGTCCTGATGATCCCTGGGGGTCCCTTCCCACTCAGGATATTCCAGGATTCTACAGAAATCCTGTTGCATTGTTGCTGTGGATGTTTCTGTGTTCGTAGGGGACAAATGAAGCCCCAACTCCTTAAATAAAGAGGGGCACGGGGTGGAGAAGAACGAAGGAAAACCCTGGGGAACATGTCCAGAACTCTGGGACGACGCTCTGAGGGACAGGGGGGGATTGTTGGGGTGCCCTGGGCAGGGCCAGGAGCTGGTGTGGATGATCCTTGGGGGGCCCTTCCCACTTTTTGGGAAATCATTCCATGATTTTATCCATGATTCCAAGTTTGCACACTCATGCCTTGCTCCAAAAGCCCAGAAGGTCACAGACAGGAAGGCTTTGGGGGGCCAAACCTCCAGTTGATGGAGAGCAGCAAAATACACCCTGGGCTGGACCTTTCTCTCCTTATTCCAGTTGCTGGAGCTTTCAGATCCCAGCGGGGCCTCCTGCCAAGGCCTGGGGCATGTGTTGGGGTGCCCTCATGCCAGTGAGTCCAGAGATGCCCAGGGAGGACTCACAGACATCCTTTTGTCCTCAGTGTTTTAAATAAAAAGCCCCCAGTGAAGGCATTGTTTGTTGGGAGAAGGAACTGGATTTTTAGCGAAGCAAAATCTCCTCTCTGTTTGTTTATTTTGGAAGGAAGGAATTCACCCGGCCCCAGGGCCTGTCCCAGGAGGGAATTCCAGCCAAATGGTGCCAGAGGAACCCAGGCTGGAAGAGGGGTGGGAGCAGCTCTTCAGTTCCTTCACCTTCCCTTGGGATCTGCTCACACCCTGGGAGGGGGGGGTTGTGTTTTAAATAACAAAGAAAGTCGTGCAATTATTCCTGCTTTTGCATCTTCGGGGATCTGAATTCCCACGTGGGAGACTGGGAATCCCGGAACATTCCCAGCTGGAAGGGACTCACAGGGACCACAGAGTGCAACTCAAATGCAGGAGGTCTGTCCCTGTCAGGCCTCCTCCTCCTCTGAGCACTTCTGGCTGAGGGGTTGAGTGGGTACAACTTGTTGTAGCCCCGACGTGGCTCTGCAGGGGTGGGGAGGGCGAGGGGCTGCAGAGAGCAGAGCAAAGAGTCCCATTTCTTGAGCAAAGAGCCCCATTTCATAGAATCACAGAATCATAGAATCAGCTGGGTTGGAAGGGACCTCTGAGATCATCAATCCAACCCTTGATCCAACCCCGCTGTGGTTCCCAGCCCATGGCACTGATGCCACATCCAGTCTGTCCTTAAACACCTCCAGGGACAGAGAATCCACCCCTTCCCTGGGCAGCCCATTCCAATGGCTGAGCACCCTCTCTGGAAAGAAATTCTTCCTAATATCCAACCTAAACCTCCCCTGGCCCAGCTTCAGACCCAGCCCTCTTGTCTTGCTGATGGTTGGCTGGGAAAAGAGACCAACCCCCCCCTGGCTCCCCCCTCCTGTCAGGGAGTTGCAGAGAGTGAGGAGGTCTCCCCTGAGCCTCCTCTTGTCCAGGCTGAACAGCCCCAGCTCCCTCAGCCTCTCCTCCCAGCACTTGTGCTCCAGTCCCTTCCCCAGCCTCGTTGCTCTCCTCTGGACCTGCTCCAGCCCCTCCATGTCCTTCCTGAGCTGAGGGCCCAGAACTGGACACAGCACTCCAGGGGTGGCCTCACCAGTGCTGAGTCCAGGGCAAGAATCACTTCCCTGGCCCTGTTGGCCACCCTGTTCCTGAGCCAGGCCAGGATCCATTGGCCTTCTTGTCCCCCTGGGCACACTCTGGCTCCTGTTCAGCTCCCTGTCCATCCCCACTCCCAGCTCCCTTCCTGCCTGGCTCGTGGTTCAGCTCTGATTCCACAGTGTCTTTTGCAATTCAAGCAAGAAGACACAGGGAGTAACCCCGGAGTAACCCCGGAGTAACCCCGGAGTAACCCTGGAGTAACCCCGGAGTAACCCCAGCGATAAGGAATTTACAGATGGAACGTGTCGAGCGCGGTTTTAGCTGGAAATTAATATGGCAACAGGATCAAGTGCCTGGATATGAGGCTGCTGATGGATGCTGGGAGAGGAGCTGAGGGCTGGCCCCCGCTGGATGTTCACTCTTGGCCGGGTCCTTTGGGGAGGTGGAGCCAGGGGGGTTGTTTTTAGGCAGCTAAACCCACCTTGCTGTGGTTGAAGCTTCCCAAAAATCCAGCCTGATCCGGTATTTCTTGCCATCTCTGTAATGAGAACTTCACCTGGAGGTGGGAAGGTGGAACCATCCATGTCCCACCACTGGGCTCTTCTTGTTGTAAAGCTGAGCAAGCTTGGAAGAGGAAGCAAAAATCCCAGTTTTTCAGCTCCTCACCTCTGCTTTTCCAGGGAAAAACCAGGACTTCTGAAGGACAACTTACCCTGCACTGAGGTTCCTGGAAGATGAGATCCCGTAACACGGGCTGGAAAAGGGCTTTAGACATCTCCTAAGCGTCCGTATTTCCTTAATAAAATTTGATTGGTGCCTCATTAAAAATTTAATAATTTGCCCGTTCGAATTAGCAACAGATGGGAGCTGGAAGGCAGCCAGGCTTCCTGGCCTCCAGACTGCAATTTCCTTGGCTTCATTCCCCTCCAAAGGAGTAATCTACATAGGAAAATCTATTTTTGTCAAGTGCTTGTTTCAAAGGGGGTGTTCTCCTCACAATTGTGCTTTCATTAGGATCCATCTCCAGGAATTCTCGCTGCGGTGCTTCCGTCTCCAGAGGAGGTGGGAGGTGCAAGTCCACCCCCTTTCCTGCATTGGTTTGGGGTTATACATTTATTAATCTGACTTTCATGAGTCCCTTTGAGGAGCGTCTTCTTCTGCTGCTTTTGGTATCCCGATAAAATTTGAGTCAAAAAACCCAATATACGGTTATTTGGTAACTCACCTTTGCAAACGTGGCTCGTGGTTCTGTTCAGGCTGCCAAAAAAGGGCTTTTTTTAATGAGATCCCATCACCTTTACACCTATTTCACTTCAAAATCAGTGCTTTCTTTTCCCCTCAAATCCTTCTTGCTGTTGGTCTCGGTGACACCCACAGACCAAACTTCTCGTTTCTCTTTCATCAGCGTTAATTTTCAAGCCTGACTGTGCTCCCAACTGCTCAAGAAACACAAATCAGAGGGAGCATTAAGCTGGAAACAAGCAATTATTTTGCTAATTGGTCCTTTCCCAGGATTTCTTGTGTGTTTTCCAGGTGGGACAATTCTAGCCCAGGTTAAACTATTCCCCTTTGCCTGTGGGTGCCTGTGGCTTGTTCAGGTATAACCACCCCCCCCACGACTTTTTGGTTGCTTCACACATCAAATCCAAATATTTCACTGCAAAGACAGCTGGGGGTTAATCCTGGAGCTAATGCAGGAGTTGGGTTCACAGGCAATCACTAATTACTGGACTCTTCAACCTCGAAATTCCCTCAGCAAATCTCAGCCAGACCAACACTTAACTTCCTCAGACAGTTCATGTGGAATTTTCTGGGTTAAAGGTCTTTTTTTTCCAGCCACAGATCAAACACTTACACGAAATCACCTATTCCCAGCAGAAGGGAAAACCTTATTATTTCAGAATTTAGTTTCCTGCTGTGCCAATATCCCTAATCGAGGGTCAAACCCAACATTCCTCAGTGCAAGCACAGCCCTTCAAAAATCCTTTTTTTTTTTTTTTTTTTGTTTTTAGGGGGGGGGGGGTCCCTGTTTGGGAAGGGGAAACCCCAGTTG